CAAAGGTAGAAAGTAAGAAGAAATGCAAAATAGGGACAGTAAACAGAGGTCCTCGGCAAAAATAATAGGAATGTCAAAGAATAATATAGTTTTATTGAATAATATGAGTCACATGGAGTGGATGCATCTGCGCCGGCGACTGACAATTACAATTTCGAGCCATGTCACCAATTGTCTCCAGCTTTTGTTGGTTTTTACCGTCCCCAGGAGCCCAACCAGTCAGCCTGCCTACATCTTTCTGTGTGGTTTAAACTAAATGTTGTGCATTTCATTGACTGATGAAGCCATTTTTTCATTTGACCACCACTGGCTCTTTTCCAGCCTGGTCCATTCTATGTCAGCCGGCTAACATTACCCATCGAGGAAGGCGATGGCTACGTATGCGTAACACATGTCCTAACCATCTCAATCGATGTGACTTCACAACCTCATCGATTGATTTCCGCTCCTCATCTAGCACTCGACCGAAGCCTCATCAACTCAATATTGCTCACCCTATTATACCACCTAACACACAGACAGGTGATGGAACGTTGGCGCTTATGATCAAGGACAGCCAGCCATTTCATGTCTTCCACTCTCGATGGCCAGGTCTCACAACCATAAAGAAGGACGGAGAAAACTGCTTTGTTGAGCATTTCAAACGCCCTTTGGTCGACAACCAGCCAGATATCACGTCTACGCCGGAGACGACGTAAACAAGCATATGTGAGACGTGCCTTGGGTATCCATGGAGAGATTTCATCAGCGACAAACCTAACTGCGCTAGGGCTGATGCAACTTCCCAAATAAGTGAAGTGGTCATTACGCTCTACTAACCATTTCACTCCCTATTTCTAAGCTAGGAGTTAATGTAATCCAGTCCAGTCCGGTAGCATCATGTTAGATTTGACAGAGGGAGCGAATCGCATGCGAAACATTCGAAGATTGCAGCTCCAGGTGTTCAGAAGACTCTGCATTTATTCAGCGTCCTCGCCTAGAAGGACAATATCATCTACATATTCTAAGTCGACGACATTTTTGCCTTGTAACAAGTCAATCCGTGAGTCGCTGAGGTCAGCATTTAGCATTAATTCCATTAGCACATCTATGATGATATTAAAGAGGAGTTATGGGGACTGTGAGCATCCCTGACGGACAACACTAATTGTCACCAGTTCAGATGACAACTCGCCGCAAGCTCTCACTTTGCTGCATGAGCCCGAGTAGAGTGCCTTGATCAGTACGGCATACTTTCAAAGCACTTCACAGATGAAGCACTACATACAATCACACAATAAAATGGCATAATCTTGAAATCTAAAGTGATAGAGTGAAGAAATATCGAGGATTGACGCTTTATGGATCTAATCAAGTGAGAATACACGCAATAGAAAGGATTTAACATTTTTTCTCAGATATCTACAAAAATCTACTATCCTTACGATAAACGGAAGGGAGAAAAAAAAGGGGACCATAGAAAAATGAGTTTCAGAGTTAAATGGTGGATGGTGACTTGCAGTGGCTAACGCGCATTTTCTCCTACTTGGGACTCTTCGGCTGGATACACCTGCATTCTCCAGTGAGTGGTGATGTTCCCACTGAAGCTCGAGCCTAGTACCCATAGTTTCAAACGTCAAAGCGTTATTCACTAAACCACTTTGGCCACTATAGTCACCTCTGGCGAGTCCTAAATAGGACGAAATGCGCGCTATCATGGATTCCATTGCTAGTCAGCATCCACCTATTAACTTCTAATTTAATTCCCGACCATCGTCAAAGCATCTGCACAAGAAGTCAGCATGTCAACCTGAGACCGAGAACTTCGGTTCAATCAATCGACGGGAAAATCTAAAATTGAATTAAATAATATTCCAATGTGGTCGTCGAAAAGAACATGTTTCTAAAATGGCTATAAAAAAAAACATCGAAAATCTCAATGCAATTATTAATCTGAATAGAAATCTAGCACCATCATGATCCATTTCAAAGCACTTGTTAATGTCAGGTCACAAAATCAATATCAATGACTGCTTCAAAATTATTTCATCACATAACTCTAATTCAAGGTTGGTTGATGGAAGCATATTTGGGGATTAATCACATACATCCTAAACTATGTGTATAAAAAACAATAATATCGGAGACAGTTCAAAGTGAGAATAGTAGTAGTAACAATTGACATTGTAATAAAAGAAGAGTATTCAAAATGAATAGACAAAATGAAAAAAAATGGATAGAGCCGAAATGTGATCAGGGATTACCATACTTTAGTATAGAAGGATTAAGATCATGAAAGTTGGTGGGGAGGGGTTGAACGAACTTTGTCTGCATACAGAGATCTGGCTTTTCTATTTCAAAAGCCAAAGCTTCAGCAATACACATGAGTCAGGTACGTGGTGATTTCCGCAAATTACTTTCTCCCTTCTAGATGACTGTAGAGGCGGAGGTTGTAGAGTCATCTAGAAGGGAGAAAGTAATTTGCGGAAATCACCACGTACCTGACTCATGTGTATTGCTGAAGCTTTGGCTATTGAAATAGAATAGCCAGATCTCTGTATGCAGACAAAGTTCGTTCAACCCCCCCCCCACCAACTTTCATGATCTTAATCTTCTATACTAAAGTATGGTAATCCCTGATCACATTTCGGCTCTATCCATTTTTTTTCATTTTGTCTATTCATTTTGTATACTCTTCTTTTATTACGTCAATTGTTACTACTACTATTCTCACTTTGAACTGTCCCCGGTATTATTTCATTTGTTCCACTTTTCATTCTAAGTCGATTCTGTTTTGCAGCCTTAAATTCTATGTTATCAATAAAGAATAGACATCAACCTTCGCCTACCATGAACTGACTACTTGACCTATTTAATTAAATATGACTGGTCATTAGTATGTACTTCTGATTTGTTTTATATAACTGAGTAATTGTCATGCCTTTCATTTTATTTTATTATTGTGAACCAAGTTAGATGTAAAGCAGTTGTTCAAGAAACTATGAAATGACGATATCATCTCGTGAAATTTGTCTTCTAAATGCCTTATTCAAATAAACAGAGGTCAACCTGAAGTTCAACAGACATGTGACAAATAGATGATCGGTAAATAAAGTACATTCGGAAATGTGAATATTTGTGAATATAATATGATGAAAGAATAGGATGAGTGAAATGTTGTCAAAGTAGTAGATTACATAAAAAATCGTAGAATATGATTACATAAAGTGAAATGAAATAAAACAAAAATGGAACATAGAAACACCAAGATCATGGGGTAAAGTGAGAGATCGTGCAAATTACTCTTGTACACAACGTTCTGGCTTTATGTGTTATGTATTGCCAAAGCCTCTGCTATCTATATACAAAGCAAATGCACTCGTGTTCTTTTCAGCAAACATTGTCGAAATTTGTACATTATAGTAAACGATGTGTCAGATGCTGCGTCGTGGTCAGTATCTATAATAAGTTGCAATATGGATGAATTAAAACCTCTACGCTCTCTTTTGCGCAGTCAAACTAGGACGTCCTCTGAAACACGGCAGGATATGTACATAGCTCCACAAGAACAGGTGAACGTATAAATACTCACGGAATCAGATAACATTAAGGTGCACCAGTGGACGGCTAGAGTAGGTTATTCGTGAAGTGGCAACAACGAAACGTTTTTCTCAACGATCTCGTCAGACCGTAAAATACCTCCCTCGCAGTGTCACCTCTAAATTCTAAGTTTAAGTGCAACACTTCCTTAGCCACCTTGTCAATCTCTAAATTACTCCCAGGTATTTTGCTATTGCCCTCGATGAATCGAATACCTGATCAATTGTGACTCATAATCCTAAACACCAAGACAATTATAGTACTTAAGTGTTTTCGCTCACTGTCAAACTTTAACATACACACAAAAATTGATTGTTATTGTGTATTATAATTCAAATATATATACAGTTGTACGATTGGTCTTAGGTTGACATATCGGCTCATAGTACAGATGCTTCGACGATGTCTGTTCATGCAACTTGAAGTCATTTGGTCGATGGTGACTAGCAGTTGAATCCAGGAGGACGCGCATTTCGTCCTATTTGGGACTCTACGACTGGATGTACCTGCATTCCACAATAAGTAATGATGTTCCCAACACCCCGAATAGGACGAAATGAGCGTTACCCTGGATTCCACTGTTAGTCACCATCCACCAATTAACCTGTAATTACATGCCCGAACATCGTCGAAGCATCTGCACAACAAGTCGACATGCCAAACTGAGACCGAGTACTTCGGTCCAATCAATCGACAGGAAAATCTAAAATTGGATTTTCAAGAGTTTCGTTTGTAAGGACTAGATTTATTTATGCGAGTTTGATCGCGGATTGATATTAATCAGGGAGCCATTGAAAACTACCACTAGAGTACTGGACAGCTGCCTATTTCTTCCTAGTTTAGAAATCATCGGTAGTAAGCACTCACACCACGGGATTCGAACCCGGGACCTTCCTTCTGGCTATAACGCAAGCACGTAAACCATTCAGCCACTGTCAACCGACTCAATGGCCCATAAATTCTAACTTCAACCGATTCACGATTTAGCGCGACCACCAACCAATGTCATCGGTGGGAACTCCATCCTCGTACTTGACTGGATGGATTAAATAGTCTTTATGATATTCCAGAAATCTTTATCGGACAGAGGCGAGTTTGAATTGTTTTGAAACTGATAATATCTCATCAGCTTGTGACTAAGCCGGTTATTATTCCTTTGGGCTCTAAGTGGAACATAGGGCTTCAACAACACATCTTCACCTTAGCTGGCTCCTAGATTGCCGAAAAGCCTTCATCCCCTTGTTGTATGATCTACAGCATGACACAGTCTGTTACGCAACTCTTTGTTCCCCATTAGGGTTCCATTTAATCGGCTAGTGAGCAGTGTTACTCGACGATCAACTCATATTATTTGCCTTCCGTCAATTACATTTCTTTAACAGATACACAAAATTGATTAATAATCCTTCAAATCAACTTACCCAATAAATTTCCCCGACTTATAATCAATTTGCTTAACTTCAACACGATCCAATGGTTCACCTTCAACATTGAATATTTTCATTTTAATTGATGATATCTCTTCACTGACAGGTTGATTGATGAAATCCGATGGTGTACGTCCCGCTCCTCCTACTCCTCCAACTCCACCTACGCCATCTTGAATTCCTGGCACCATTGTACTATGATCAACACCTCCACCTGATTCGTCACGATTCATTTGTTGGTGATGAATACGATTACCGTTAGTGTCAGAAGCTCTCACTGCTAATGGATAACCTTTCACTAGGCAAGATGCTTTCCATGATTTATGTCCAAAGAAATAATTATGTCCATTGAATGGGACTAAGTCCAATTGTGGTTCAGAATGGACTAAAACATTTCCAATAGCTTCTGCCTCCCCTGCTTGATTCCATACACGACATCGATAGACGCCATGATCACTCCGTTTGAGATCTGAGTGTGAAATAGAAATTGACAAAAAAACAAAGAATGAGACATGTATAAGAAGTTGTAAAACAAAAGACAATTCAGTGAAGCAAAATGTTCCTTGTCGACGAAATCATTTTCAGAGGCTGTACACTACTAGTTATATTTACCCCCTGCTAATGCTTGAGTAACAGGGGTGACATAAGTGGCTTAATTACTCAGAAGTTGTTTCGAAAACAAGAAGAATTCGTGACCAGTGGGGTACAGCAGGTCGGATGTGAGGATAAATACTCGCTACCGATGACATTCGCTAGTGGTTGCGCAATATCACGAATCGGCAGGAGTTGGAAATCATGGGCTGGCCATTGGATAAAGTCCCAGCGGTTTAATGGTCTACGAGCTTGCTGGCTGTGTGACCAGAAGGTCCTAGGTCCGAACCTCTATAAGTGCGTATTTCTGAAGAGGTCCAAACTGGGACGAAACAGCTGTCCAATACTCTTAGCTGGCTTTCCAATGGTCCTTTAGCCGATGCCAGTTCATTATGACAATCTGAAAAGAAAAGGTTTAATAAATCTGATAAGGTTGAGATAACCATCTTTACTGCACAGACACTTCAGGCTTGTGCTGCCAACACTCTTGCCATACACAAATACTGGAACCTAACACCTCATATACTACTACGTGGCCTGACTGCACTAAGTGCTTGAGAATCAAGTTATTAATTGTCTTGCATTATCCCTTTGCTAACCATGCTGGATAATGTTCGGAGATGCGTTTAGAAAGAAAGTGTTCGCTTTGTGCAGCCAATGAAAATGGCCCCAAAGGAACACGTAAATTTATAAGCGCTCATTGAGGTGCCCAAAGTGCCCATTTATCCCAGTCTAGGGATCTGTAAATGCGACAATGTAAATTCCTTGGTGTTCTCTGAAGTTTAAAATTCGACCGGAAACATTTCGTTATCAAGGCGAATCGCCTACTGAACACTAAGAAGTCTTCGTCAGTTCATATTATACAAAACATTTTTAGTGTCAGTGTGGCTCAGTTATTAGGTTATCCAAACTTCTGTTCAGTATAATGCATCAATTATTCTCCCTTTCTTATTGTCTAAATTATTCGTCATCTGAAGTGGTGACAACTACTGGCATCCATCAAATATTCCCAATGTCTCCATTTTTATTCAGTTCCATCATCGACATACCGGTACATTTGAGTCTAATCCATTTGAGTGAGTGTATCTGTTATCGGGGTACGGTCTCATCGACGTAAAGTGTGTGGGTGGTACTGCCTCGATAAATGGACACGCTGTTAAATTACAAAATATTCCGTAAAGCTTGAGAAGAAATACTAGTATATCCGGTATACGATTTATCCCTGTCAAATGCAAGATGATCCTGCACAGCTGCTCTGCATTGACACTCAATTTAAAGATAAGAAGAAGTGAAACGCTTGAGCATGTTAATCTTCTCACTTTCTGGTCTGCTGCGCACGTGATTCGTGCCTGTTAAACCTCAGCTGATGCTGCACTCCTCATCTGCACTGACTCTAAATTTTGAGGTAGGGAAAATGAAATACTTGAGCGTGTTAATCTCCTCATTTATTTGAGTTGTGTCAACCCCAATGGACAGATTGTTGACAAAACCACAACAAGGGATGAAACAAAGCTCGTGTAACCAATATCAACTTACATCATCTCTGGTGTGCACGCAGTACCCAACAAACGATCACGGGACGTATACTGCCGAGCAGTTTTCTAAATCCTTCTTTATGGAAGTGAGACATGGCTACTGAAGGAGCACATCTACCAATAACCGTGGTTTTTTCAGTACTGTTTCTTGTTTGAAATGGTATAATAAGATGAGTAATACTGAGGTAAGGCGTAGAGTGCTAGGTAAGAAGCGCAAGTCAGTTGATGAGACTTAAGTCGATGCAAGAACCGGCGCGGAATTATGCCCTTGTCCATCCGAGGCGAAATCCTAAGTCGCATCATCCTGAAGAGAATCAAACAAGCCCTGGTTAGAAAACTTCGACCGGAACGGGCTGGATTCAGGAGAAACAAGTCATGCATTGATCAAATCACAACTCTACGGATCATCATTGAACAGAGCCTGCAACTGCAGTCAGCTCTCTATCTCAACTTCATTGACTATGGAAAGGCCTTCGACAGAGTTTCTCGAGAGATGATTCAGGTGCAGCCAACAATTATACAACTCATCCAACAGTTGTACGACAATTCTGTATGCCAAGTTATCCACAATCGGAAACTCACGGAATTCTTCAAAGTGAAGACGGAAGTAAGACAAGGCTAACCGGCTGCCTACTAACTCCAATGATTAATTTCCTGATTGAAAACAGTAGACTGGATTATTCGACAGACAGTAGCCAGTGGGGAAACAAGCATAAAATGGACCCACAGAAAAAAAAACTTAGAGGATCTGGACTTCGCCGATGATATATGTTTGATTTTCCACAAACTGGAAAATATGCAAATGAAAAGCAACAATTTGGCAGACAGAGTATCAAAGATAGCAAGAACTTCAGGTAAACATAGAGAAAACAGAGGTGATGAAGATTAACTGCCAACAGTGACAACACCAGCAACAGACAACAACCAGCATAAATTGGAGGAACCTGAAAGAACCAACCTCCTTCACCTACCTAGGGAGCATCGTTTCGACGGCGGACGGAAATGAAGAGGACATCAGAGCGAGTATCGGGAAAGTAAGGCAAGCTTTCATTACTCTCATCAAGTCTGTGTGGAGATCAACAGCACTCAGCATGAAAAATAATAAGATCCAGATTTTCAACTCCAATGTGATGTCAGTTAGTGCTACTATACGGATCAGAGACTTGGTGCAGGGTCACGAAGGCCACTTCGAACAAACCACAGACCTTCATCAACAGCTACCTGTCTTCGCTACTCAAGATCAGATGGCCGGTTAGAAGAGATCAGCAACAGTGAGAGATATTTGGCAATGAGAGAACCAATCCAGCAGGAACTAATTGTGCAAGAATTATGCAGGAAGAAATGGAGGTGGATTGGCTGGCCATACTCTGAGGAAACCATCAAGTGACATCACTAGACAAGCCATTGCTCGAGTGGAACCCGAACGGGAAGCGGCGAGTTGGTCGTCAGTGCGTGTGTGACATGGAGGAGGTCATGTGAAGAGTGGATGAAAGCATGTGAGCAGACTTGCACCCAGGTGAAAACATTAGCAGAGAACCGAACGCAATGGAGAAGTGGGCGGCTAAAGCCCTATATTCCTCTAGGAATTAAAGGAAACAATAACAATAGTAAGAGCTCACACATAATATTTAACATTCTATTAGCTCACTGAACCAATTGGCTAGAATAACTAACCAACATATTGTTAGAAATTCACATATTTACCTCTTATTCTCTTCAAATCGGTTGGTATATTATCCATTATCAAAGGAAACATTGTTCAGTAAATAGCCCTACTAGCTAGTTACTAGTTAGTTAGTCAGTTAGTTTGTTGTGTTCTTTCTCTCTTCTCTTTAATATTTCGATTCATTTGACTGTTAATCAATCCGATAATCAATAAATAAACTTGTGTTCTTCGCTTATCTCATGCTTATCAAATTTCTTATGAATAGAAAAAACGAGGCGGAGGAGAAGAACGAGTAGGAAGAGGAGAATGAGGAGGGAGAAGGGGACGGGAAAGTGAGAAAGAAAGAGAAATAAGTTAAAAGGCTATTTTTACTTCTACAATAGAATAACCTTCAATATTCTCTGGGGATTTTAGTCGAATGTGAAAACGAAAAAGTAACAACTTGCAACGGATTTTTATCTTTCATGAAAAATTCGAATTCGAACATTAATAGACAGAGAATATTAGTAGTTCAGCGAAGAGACTCTTTTTGATGTGGTTGTGTTCTCTGAGCTGGATGGTTAATTTGCGAAGCTCTCATCACCCTACTGGATGACATCTTCAACGCATACTTCAATATGAAGTGAGCTTTTAGATTTCTCCACGAGTTTATTAATCATCTTTCCCGGTGGGTGGCCTCGGACGTGATTGGTTGTTTTTGTGTGTTTTCACACCTTCTAGGCAGCTACTTGTATTGGAACTGATTGTTTCTTTGACTTGAACTTTGACCCTTTGTGTGTGTGAGGGTTCTTTCTTATCGGCTGATAAATTTTGTCTATCTCTATGTGTCTGTTGATTGATGATTCACTGGAATACGAGACAGGCTTCTAAAAATTCTCTAGCATTCTTGGTGTTTCCTCTGTCTAATATTTGAACGCTGGTTCTCCCAGTCGAATTGATGTCCGTGGTTGTCTGTGTGTAGTGAAATGAGGGAGTGGATATCATGTCTTTTGACGGCTAGCTTATGCTCGTGGATACGAAGACGTAGGAGACGTTGTCCATTTCGGTCAATGTAGTGTTTTTCGAAGTTGGTACAATTTATTTTGTAGATGATGTTGGTTTTATCTTCTTTCGCTGTTGAGTCTTTTGGTTACCATAGAATTGATGGAAGCGACTTTGTTGGTTTGTGTACAACGTCAATTCCTTAAGGTTTGAGAGTTTTGTAGTATAATTGTACCAACTTCGAAAAACACTACATTGACCGAAATGGACAACGTCCCCTTCGTCTTCGTATCCACGAGCATAAGCTAGCCGTCAAAAGACATGATATCCACTCCCTCATTTCACTACACACAGACAACCACGGACATCAATTCGACTGGGAGAACCAGCGTTCAAATATTAGACAGAGGAAACACCAAGAATGCTAGAGAATTTTTAGAAGCCTGTCTCGTATTCCAGTGAATCATCAATCAACAGACACATAGAGATAGACAAAATTTATCAGCCGATAAGAAAGAAACCTCACACACACAAAGGGTCAAAGTTCAAGTCAAAGAAACAATCAGTTCCAATACAAGTAGCAGCCTAGAAGGTGTGAAAACACACCGAAACAACCAATCACGTCCGAGGCCACCCACCGAGAAAGATGATTAATAAACTCGTGGAGAAATCTAAAAGCTCACTTCATATTGAAGT